AATTAATATTATAATAATATTATTATTATAATGGGAAATTAATGTAAATCACCACAACAATATTACTGTCATAAGAATTTTAAGCTATTATTAAAATCTATAAGATATATTTTAAATTTTTCTTTAATACCAATAGTTTCTTTACTTTCTAACATTCATTGACACAAAGATATAATGAAATATCTTAGAATAAGTGATGTTCGATAAAAAAAATTTAGTAAAAATTTTCGTTGCTACCAAATAAAAATTTGACGTTCTATCTGTACAAAGCGATGAATAATATTTTCAAAGTAAAATGGGTACTTCCAATCTACTTTAATGAAATTTAATTAAATTTAATTGATTGGTACTACATATTACAATTAATCGATATATACTTCTTGATATCAAAATCTAGTTTGATTGTTTGATATTGTCAATGAATAATTTTCTAGATAATTGTTAATTTAGAATTTATATTTATTTTCTAAATGGGGTTTAATATATCAAGAATGTATTATCTTCACAAAACTTCATAAATGAATTATAAAATAACATCGCATTCAAGTTTCAGTCCTACCTGTCTATTATGTTCACTATGGAATATCATATCACTATGGAATTTTTATAAAAATTAATGGAAGTTACAAAGCAGACACATAATTTTTTATTCAATTAAAATCACCTTCAAACAAACATATTTTTATTTATTAAAACACGATTCAGTCCTGGAATTATCCAATATTGCAGTGGTCAATTGATGTTCGATAATTCTATAATTTTGCTTTTTTAAAAAATCAATTTTTTGCATTGAGTAACGGAAATCTTATGTTACTAAATGGATATTTATGTACAATCAAATAGTTTATTTTTAAGTTAATTTTATAGATTAAAATAAGTAAGGTACATTGATCAAACAGTTTTATGTACATAGATGACTGAATCATGAAAAAATCAACATGCACGCATGCGCTTATATAATATGTATATATATTCTCAAAATTTTTAAGTAAATATATAATTTTTTATATATTTTTAATTTTTACTATATCAAATATTTATATGCCAGATTGTATACAAATAATTAATTGTTAAGTATATTTAAAATCAATATGAAATGGAAAAACGATGTGGGTGGCTGAATAATGAGACACCATCCAGTAATATATAAATGAAAATATGTTTGAAGTTGCGTTTATTAAAAAATTTCTGTCAAAAATAACAAATGTATCGATAGTATCATAAAAAATAAAATGGTAAAATAAATACCATTAGTTATTGTATAGTAGGGAATGTTATTTGCGGTTATGTAACTTTGCAACGCATCTCTCGAGAGTAATAGAGCACTCTTGTGCATCGCCGTTCCGACTATGTTCGCGCGACATGTTCTCGCTCTCTCTCTCTCTCTCTCTCTCTCTCTCTCTCTCTATCTATCTATATGAACCACCACTTTCTATCTCCTCTTTTCTCTATCCTCTTCTCACTTTCTATGCTCTCCCTGTATTTCACCGCCCCCTACCTTGGCTCTTTATATCGATCAGTGCGCACCGGCCGCAGCATCTCTGCGTCGCAACTATATGTGTGTAAATATGCGTATCTACCTACATTTGTACTTATTTTTCCATACGTATTCGCAATTTATCAAATATCTCCTGTTCTTACACTTCCAAAGGTAGATAGCGAATTATTTTCAAATTTTAAGATACAGACACCTAAGAAGAAGGAAAATTCTTCGAAGGCAAATGATAAGAAACGAACGAAAAATGGTACAAATAAATTGTATTAAAATACTAAATTAATCAATCGAATTTAATCTGAAACAATCTTTAGATAATAATGTTTATGAAATGTTTCATAAATAATTATAATTTTGTTTTTAAAAAATAATTGCTTTTAATTTTAAAATATTAATATTTACATTAATATTAATATATATTGTGTGTGTGTGTGTGTGTGATGATGATATACTTTATATATATTGTATTTTATATAAATATAAATATTTATTGAAAAATGATCGGAAAAGTGCATGTGGTTATTAAAATTACTTAATAAATATATATTTGGAAACAAAAGTCTACTGATTTATTATATTTAAATTTAATTTAAGTTTTTGGATAAAGAAATATCTAAATGAAACCTATCAATTTGGTTTCGTTTTGCGAAATAAAATAAAAGATTTATGTATCTACATTATATGCCGAAATAATAGTAATCCGTGAAAGTATACTATATATATAAGATAGATTAAATATTTCAAGATAATTTTAAAGGAATCGGAGTAAAAATTCAGACAAATTTTAATTTTCAATTAAATGCTAAAAATAAATGATAATCATAAAAAATGTTTTGCATTTTTCGAATCATAGAATAATAGTTCATTAAGTAATAATGATAATTTTATTTATTCATCTTTTTATTGAAGTGAAATATGCTAAAATGAATATTTTATTTGCGTTACGTTAAGGTAAATGGAAATTAATGATGTGAGATAATGTTGTTAAAGAACATTCTAAAACCTATTTTAAATGAGTAAAAAAAATAACCGGAGATTGGCCGAAGAGTATGGATTTATTCAAGATTTAATTGAATAAATAATGAGTTAGAATAAGTATATTAAGCCAAGAATTCTATAGAGTGTATAAACAATTTATTTCTTTGAATTTTAGTATCGCTAACTTTTAAAGTACCTTGAAATTTGAAAGGTATAACAATTTTTAATATTATGTAATATTATACATATCTTCTTAAACTTTATTAGGTAAGTGTTTCTTACATAAGTAAATTATCTTTGTCCTAAAATATCTAATCTTGTTAAATAAATGAAATATCAAAATATGTATGCTCAAATTTGAAGATATTGAATCTCTTCTGCGAAAAATAAAATGTTTATAAAATTTAAGTTTAAATATACACGAATAGAATTTTTATTTAATTTCTATTTATTATATACATAATTCTTTATATGTAGATATTTCTATATATAAGTAGTAATTGTTTATATTTATAAAATGATTTATAAAATATTTTACAACTAAGTTTTTTGTTTAATGACATTTAATGAGTAATATTAATAATTTTGTTATAGACCACCAATAGAAATATATATATATATATATATATATATATATATATATATGGATGTGTAAAATATATATGTATAAAATAATGCGTTATAAAAGCTACTCTAACAATGAAATACTCAGACAAAAAGTTGTTCTGCGAAAATTCGAATATTATTAATTAACAATAGCTTATGTGTATTCATGTAATCTTAATTGCCTATGATAATACATACCCTGATCTCATTAATAAAAAATGTGAGATGTAAATTTGAAAGAAAAACTCGATATAGTATTTTTAATATATTTAGAAATATTTTAGTTCTCTTATCTACTACTAGTTTAGTAGAGTGTAAATAATTTAAAAGCAATTTGCGACAATCTTGTGCCCTTTATAATCGGTATAAGTTGATTTTGATTTCTTTTATACTTTTTTTCTTTATTTTTCATATAAATTCATACAAGTTATGATTAAAAATGTATTATATTTTCATTTTTCATAAGATTATGCATTACAAATTTAGCAACATATACAAATTTAAAAAATATGTATTTCACTTATATTTTTAGATTCTTATATATTTGTAAAAATTCAAATTAAAATTTTTTATATTCATAACATATCATATTCAAATATTTGTATTTGTTGTATTATTTATGTTTTAGTATTTGTAAAATTCCTCTCTACTTTTTTTTTTTAATCATAGTATTTTTAAATTGATCTTAATATATAGTTTAGTAGATTATTATTGCAATACGATTTAATAAAAGAAGTAGTCCAGATTACCTAATCAAATTATAATTCAGAATTTAACTTTAAGTCCTATTTTGAAGTTAAATTGAATTAAAAATATTTTTTATAATATATTTATATAAAAAAATAATTTCATCTCTATGAATTTTCATTCTCTGCGAAGTATGTAAACATAATAATTTAAAAACAATATTATGTATCTCTTGAATACAATTTTTGTAAATTAAATATTTTATTAAAAACTAGTGGTTTTTTAAAATGTTTACTTGAAAATAAAATTGGTCGAAATTTATATTCGTCGAAGTTGTAACATGTAGTTTAAAAAAATCTATTTTCAATATTATATTGCATTTATTACGTACAATTCTAAAGCATGTACCAATAAAATTTTAATGATACATTGCTCTTATGATATTCTGTTAGATTAAATAATTACTAATCAAAATTCTAATCGATGTTTTTATATGTAACGATTTGAAATATACTATAATATAGGAAGTATTCGTAGGATTAAATTGATAATTATATATATATTATTTAAAATTTTATTATTTTTAAATAAATTAAATGTTATACAAGTTCTTGTACTTTTATTTAAAAATGTATTTATTTTCTTTTAAATATATTTCTTTGGGTTCGGTTATTTTTCTAAATATTGAATATCTAATTTTAATCAGAAAATTTGAAGAAGATTATATTGGTTTCAGTATGTCAATCTAGATAATATCCTTATATTTTATAGAGCCGCAACTTTCTTTTACTTGATTTTGTTGAACCATGAAAAAGGCAACGACGAACATAAGAGAAAAATAAGTGTACGAAAGTTTGAGGGTGAGGCACCTAGGAGGTCAGAGAGCTCTTTCTTTCCCATCGCCAATAGATGGATAAGAGCGAAAGAAGAGAAAGAGGTCCGTACAGAAAGAGTGGATGTACAATAGAGAGAGAAAGAGAAAGACAGTGAGTGAGTGTGTGTGTGTGTGTGTGTGTGTGTGTGAGAGAGAGAGAGAGAGAGAGAAGCAGTAGGAATCGCTTTTTTCGCAGTGATGTGCGCGCGACGCAGACCCCAGTGGTGTAGAGTGGGAATTAGGTCAGTTTCTTTGCGTCTCTCTTGTCAGCTTTTCTCGCTCTCACTAGCCGGTGAGCTTGGTGAGCCTGGCAGTTTGTGTACAGCTATCCCCCGACAGTTTTGCTCGGTTCGAGCAACGGATCGCTTCGACACCTATCAAAGTTCGACACCCCCTTTTCGCTCATACACGCGCTTCCTCGATTTGTCAAAATTAATATATTTACACATTGTCTTCTTCGATAACTAGTAAGGAATTATAATAGACATTCTGCACTAGGCTACGTGATTGGATAATTTTTAAACTTAATTATTTGACCTCACAGCTTGTCATAGTATATTGAGACGAGAACATAATGGCAGTAAAACGTGTAAGTCAGCTATTATACATGGAATATAGTATCATTTGTTCTTAAGGATAGTAGAGAAACGAGGAAATTATTCAATTTTATGATGTGTATAGTGTTGGGTTTTTTCACTTGAAAAAAGTGAAAAAAGCGAGAAAGGGTAGTTTTTCAATATTGGTAGCAAGTGATAAACGAAGAAGACTGCACGTGTAAAGTCAAACGAACGTGTAGTTACGAGCTTCCAGTGGTAAAGAGTAGTTTTTTATTTCTCCTCTTGTGCGCGTGTGAAATGACACCGAAAGCTACGAGCAATTATTTTACGTGGAGCAGCAGCCACAGCGAGACAGCAGTAGCCAATCGTGCTCGTATCGAGGTGATTGTTTTGTCGATTAACGATGTGTTCAGCAATATGTTCGAAGTTGAGGGCTACCGTTCGATAATGGTTCTATATTTTTTTTTTACAATTTGAGTATTAGGTGTGCCTCAAATATATAAAAATGTTTCACCCTTAATTTATAATTATCTTCTAAAAGAATTAGAGAAACTGGCATATAGTCTTTTTAAAATAAAAAACAATTTTTTTCGTAAAATTAAAATTCAATTTAATTAATATAATGCAGTTATATAGTATTACAACACATAAACAAACAAACAAACAAACGAACAAACAAACAAACACACACACACACATACATGTATACATGTATATATATATATATATATATATATATATATATATGTGTGTGTGTGTGTGTGTGTGTGTGTGTGTGTGTATTAATATATTATAATAATAAATGTGCAATATCAAATTAAATTTCAACTAATTTTAGTAAATTTCATACATTAATTTAGCAAAATATTTTAAACATTGCTTTCAAATTAATATTATTTCAAATTAATGTTCCTTGTAAGTAATAACAAAAGAAATACTTTGATCCATTATATATATTATTATAGATATTATTATTTTATTATTACTAATATCGAAATATAATTTAAAAATTAATTTGATATTACATTAAAGTATAATGTATAATTAATAAATATTAAATTGTTTTAATTTATAATTTATGTAATATTACGATGGGGAATATTTTTGATTTATTTATTTTTCTTATTTCCTTACTTTCAAAATATAGTTGAATGCTTATGTGATTTTAAGTTATATTCATTATTTTTTAATAATTTGTATTCGTTATTCTATAAAAATTTATTATTCTTATTATTATTATTCATATTTATTAATATACTTATTAATATTATTATTCATATTCTTATTATTAAAATTAATAATAAGAAGTAATAATAGAATAATTATTTTGTTATTTTGATATATATCATTAAACATAATAATCATATTTGTGAAAATGTTTATATTATATCTAATAATATTTTTAAAAGGCCAATAAACTATTTATTAAGAGTTTTAGAATTATTTATTCTATTTACTATAATAATTAAACTCACGAAAATAAAAATATGTTATGAATGTAAAGGACAAAAAGAATAATAAAAAAACGATAAGCGTATATATTATATTAATTATACACTAAATAACAATATAAATATAACTAAATATACTGATGTATTTTGTTTTTGGATCATATAATGTAATAGAATAAAACATTACGAGTGCAGCTGGTTTTAATTTATATTATATTTTCAGAATTAATTTTATTATTTATGAAATGTGTAATCATGTTTATTTTCAAAATCAATCTGTTTCTATTATTAAATAAACAGATTAGTATATTGTTTAAGATGTAAACGCATAATAAAATTCAGAAACCAAATGAAGAAATTATAATAAAAAGCTTTCGTAAAATACATTTTTATTTATTTATCGTATTCAGAAATTATATTTTCTTCTATGATAAAAAGTCTTTGATGTTTGTTTAGTCTTTTACTTATTCACTTAGTCACAATTTATTCACTGCTAATTCTCTGTACAGTGCATTAAAAAAATTGTAATTGTAATAAAATACTTTTTATTAAACATCTACTATACTTTTCATATTAATTAGCTGCCTTAACATATAAAATTAATTTATGTTTATACAAAATATATCACAATAATTTAATAATGTTAATTGTTAATAATTATATATATAAGAACAAGCGCATGGATAGTTTAATTATGTATGTGTATTCAGATTCAACGTATATCATGAAACAATACAAAACAGAAAAATCAATTACGCATAATAAATTTGTAACGTCAAAACTAAAAATCGTAAGAAAAATATATAAATATATTAAAACATATAAAAAAATTCTATCTGCAAATATTTTTCGTTATTAAATATACCTAAATAACAATTATCTTCTATAAATACAGTACAGCATATTTAATAAATAATCTAAAGAATATGAAATAAATTGATCATTATGTAATTATTTCAATATATTTCAAATATTAAAAGGGAAACTAAGATACAATTATATATCGAAATTATAAATTATCATTTTAAAAATTCAAAACACATCCATTATAATAAATATATTACAAATATATTGAATTCAATACGTTATTTTTTTTTTATGACTAAATATATCAAGCAAATAAAAATATTGTTATATTTTATAAAAAAAATTTAGCTTAAATTTATTCAAAATACTTTTAATGCATATATAATTGTTGAAAGTCGTAAATAATATTATAATATATTTCAAAACACAATTAAAGGACAAAAATTCTTCAAATATATGATAAAAGACAATTATATTTTAAATTAAAATAAAACATTTCATGTACTCTCTCGTTTTAATAAAAATGAGAAAATTATCGTCGAATTTTTAACTTCTGATACTTCTCGTTGCAGAGAGTAATTCATTCAATTTCAGCATATTATGTTATTTATAGCTTCTCTTTTTGCTTGTATTCTTAGACTCGACCATTCAAAAAGTCCAACTTGAAAACTACCCTATAATTCAATCAAAGCAATCAGATTCTCACTTTAAAATTCAAATAGCATATATAATTTTCTGCAGTTAAAAATAATTTGTTTATATAGAACTATAAAAAGCTGGTGAAACTTCTCTCAATGTTAAATTATATATTCTTAATAATGCTTGTTTTTAGTATTAAAATAAATCGAATGTACTGTTAATTTTTGCTTTGGATTTTATTTTTTCATATATTCTCTTATGATTACTTTTTTTGGCTCTTATAATATATAATTTGTCGCAATAGATCTAACTTTAAAAGTTGTGGCTTTATATGAGGATGATTGAGCTACATAAAAAAAAAATACAAATTGCAAATTAAATTCATCTTTAAATTTTCTTTTTTATTTGTGAATTACGTACCTTTAATAACTTTAATAATTATTTATATAGTGAATAATTATATATAGAGTGTAATTAATTTGATAAAAATATTAGTATTTTTAGTAATTATAAATTATAATAACTACTACGATTTAAATTTTTGTTTTTTCATCTATTATTCTTATTCAACTATAAAATGTATTTTTTATTTTTAATTGAATTGTCAAAGGCTAGATTCATGATTATAAAGATTAAATTGAACTAATATGTACATACATTCAATTTATGTAAATTATATATTAACTTAAACATAGACTAAACAATTTGAACATTTTGATGAAAAAATTTATTTTAAAATAGACATTTGTAATAGATTATGTTTAAATATTACTAAAAGTCAGAAATAATAAGTGAGAACTTTATATTATTTAAAATCATTGTATCTCATGAAAAAATGTTTATCTATTTAAACTTTTATTCTAACGCAAATGAGGTAAAAAATATAGAAGTTATTTATAATTTTAAAGCAATGATCACAAAATTTTCTATTATTCTGTATTTAGAAATTGATACTTAAGATATAGACCAAGTAACTTATCTTTTATTAGTTATGACTAATTTATAATTAACACTATTTTGCAATTCAGTTTATATAAAAAATATTTAGTAACAAAAACTGATAAAGTGATAGTGGTGATTTTTTAAAATAATTCTTTGAAATTAAATACAATGTACAATTATTTAAGAATTTGTAGTTAATATTTCAAGTATCATCTATAATCAGAATATAATACAAACATTTTTTCAATATTTGAGAAGTAATGTAATAATAGTTAGATAATAATTATTATAAATTTATATTATAAATAATTTATACGAATTTCTTCTTTAATTATCATTATAAACTATTATAATTTAGGGATTTTAAATATTTTTTTTTCATTTTTGTTTCGAACTTTTGTGATATTAGATATTTAATGTGTTAATTAAAATTCAAGGCCATTTATTATCTTAATAATATTCTCAGAATTACTCGACCTTTTTATTATCTATTTAAAATATTATTATCGATCTAATAAACAAAGCTGAAATTCAAAATTAATAATAAAACGTTATTTGTTTATCTTCAATTCAATTAACAAAAGTCAATAGTGTTATTCTAATAAGAACATGAAATGGAGTAAAATTGTAACAATTAATTGACATAAAATTTTTTTTTTAATTATACATTAGTTTTCAGTATTTATATTTCATTTAAATTAAAGATAATTTTATAAATTTTTCAACATTAATTGAAGTTTGGCTATATAAGTATTATATATAGAAAATTTTATTAAATTATCATGTTATTTTCTTTTTTTTGAGATAATTTAAAAATGTTGTTTTAATGTAATAATGGCATTTATAAAATTATTATTTTATATTATCATTTGTATAAAGAATTCTCGATCGATAAAATAGCAATAATATCTATAAAATAATAATAATATTGAATTTTTAAAAACAAAATTTTTGTAAGTTATAAAAAAAATTAATTTTTTATATTGGGAAACTTCGTATATTATTTTATTATATATCTTATATCTCCAAAATATAATTTGCATTATTTCAATTTCTCGTATATGTTGGTCTATGCATAGTTCATTTCTTTTCTTCTGTTTTTCTGTATTGTGTCGATAACCTCAATAGGTGCCACATCCAAGACTCACTTTGTGCTTTCATTCATAATTAGGAATGTCTTTATATTTAAATGATTGAAAATAAAATCTCATTATCCAACGATGTATTTATATTTATCACATTACGAATTAGTGGAATTTTTTTTATAGTTTTTCAATTGATTTTCAATAGATTGTCGTCTATATCTATCTTAAATTTTATATAAATGGTTTAAAGTTTAAAGTGGTTTCAAGTTCGAGAAAAATAAACCAAAAGAAAAATTACTAAATGATTTCATTAATTTTTTTACATTTATATCGAATAATTTTTTAAAAGAATAATAATAAATATTTTAAATACTTATGTCAACATTATCAGTTTTATATTAATTTTAAACTATTTAACTATTTTAACTAGTTATTCATCCTCACTTTAATTGTAATTTCTTAATTTATAAAGTGAGAGTATAAAAACAGCAAAGTATTTTTCATTCATATAGGGCTAATTATTTACATGCTTCATTTTCATTTATTATAAATTATATTTTTTTCGTTACAGAAACTATTCAAAATCAACAATGTGGATTAAATAGCTATTTAATAAATGTTGCAATTTAATTCCAATTGACTGCAGCTTCATTAAACATTGTTAACTATTTCTCATCACAAAATAATTTTAGAATTATTTTCTTCAAGTTTAGAAGAAGAAAGAACATTGATAATAGAAATGAAACAATTCTCCGATATGAAAGGTGAGTTGCTTATTCAATTAAAATTTAGTATTAAAAAATGAATAAACAATAATTATCATAAGAAAAAAAAAATAATATTAAAAAATACATGTAAGTCAACTCGAAGTATACATGCAATTTTTCAGTCATGTGAATAAAATTAAGACATTTTTGTTTATTGAGGTATACAAAGTTTTCATATTTATTTATTTACTTCGTTAATATTAAAAAATATGAGTGTTTTATACAATATATGTATTTGTTAAAAATATAGTAAAATCATTTATTTAAAATAGTTATACATAATTTTCGTGAATTTGATTATATATATTAATATAGTGCAGAAATTCAGTTTTTATTTTACTTCAGTTTGTAAACTTTGTTCAGCTTATAAGTTTGGTACTATATAATTTTAGTAAATAATGAGAGCATAGTATTATGAATAAGTTTTTTTTTTGCAATTTGTACATAGTATTCTATACCGCGATATTTATTATTTTCTTAGATGTTTATTAATTATTAAATGTAATTATTATCAATTACTATCATAAACTTCTAACTTATTTAAATTAATTTATTTTTATTAAATTTCTTTTTTTGCTATTAAATTTCTCTCATTGCTATTGATTATCAGGTAATGCTAATTGCATACGAGTTTAATGATTGCAAATCATTTTGAACTATACTCGACAGAGCTAGCAACAAATATATATAAAGCATATGTATACAAGTATAACACTTTATATAATATATATGATATATATTAATATATAATATACATTACCTATATATCGAGATTAGTGATTTATTAATTCAAAATCACATAGATTAAGTTCAAATTTAATGTGAATAAATACTACTGTAATTTTATTGTATTAAAAAGTAATAATTTTTGGTAAATCAAATGAAAATTAGAGAAGTATTTAAAATTCTTTTTGGGTAAGAAATCTAAAATCTAACAAATGTAAAACAAAAAGGTAAAACGATGTATATATCTATATATAAAATTAAGGCGAATATGTTAAAAAATCTTAATGATGCAAAACATAAATTGAAGTTCAATTTAGTAAAAAGTGTAAGAGTTTTCTAAAAATGGCTTTAATATTTATTTTTACAACAGATATAATTCTTCTAAATATGTTATTACTACATTGATTTTAAATAAAAATTTTGTTTTGATATTTGTAGAAAAATTGTGTTTCTTACGAAAGAGATGCAACTTTTACGTTACATCTTAATAATAAGATTTAGTTTTCTGAAATATTTATAAAAGCACATCAATTGTAATATCTTTTATGGAAATTTTTAATAATTATCCAAGTATGTAAAGTAAGGCTTCGAATTAAATTTTTATTCCAATAAGTCAAATACAAAATTTTTTTATACTTTTAATAGCTTTAGAAATGATTAAATTGATATTTCTCATTGAATCAAATCATATCATTGTCTCTTCTTTGTTCATAACTTAAGAAGAAAATTTTCATAATACTATTTTGAAAGTGAGCATCTCATTTATAAATGTATTTCAAATATTTGAGAAAGTAGATACAATTGTGTGAATTTCTCGTATATAAAATATTTATTATATATGAAAATATAAATATAATAAATGATTAGTTTTAGTTAAATATCCAAATCACTCACTTATGCCAGCATATATTCTATGTATTCTTCTATTCCTGCTTTGTTTATATTATTTGTGTGCTATGTATATGTACATAGCCACGAGTATTCTTTTTCTGCAATATAATATTATTGGGCATTCATGTCGCGTATTTCTTCCGTATTACATATTCTGCACATGTTACATTCTACTCTGTGCCACATATATCTTTATCAGAGCATACACGTTTCATCCATTTTCTTATACCATACATCTCTACTTTATAACTGATGAAATTTCAATTGTAATTGCTTAATCACACGTAAAATTAATAAAATGTGGCCAGATAATTAATTATTGCTTTAATATAAATTAAATATAATTTACAATTTTTATTTAATATAAGTTTTTTATTATATAAATCTAAAATTTCATGTGATTTAAACAATTTATATGTTTCAAAACTAGCTTACAGCAATTGTACTTTAAATTAATATATAATATAATTTATTAATAAAATAATATTTTGAATATTTTGTTAAGATTCTCTTTATTTCATTAAATTATCAATTTATTTTATTACAAAATTTAATATAAATTATTATATTATAGTCATATAATTATCGTATTATAGTAATAAATTGAAAAAGGTTTACATAAAAATATTTTATTTTCATATTTCACTAGAAGAATATTATATATTTTAATTATTTTATTAACTACTCAAGTAGGAATGTAATAATTTTGAAATATTATCTAAAAGTTTGGAATATATAAAGCAATCCAATAATTGAATTTTATTTATTAAAAACATTCATAGAAACATAAAATATTTAAGGTAGCTAGTAAATATTCTAAAAAAATCGAATTTAAAAATGCATCATAGAAGAATGTATAACAAACGATAATAGAGTTTTAATAATAAAATGTTTAATTGAGAAGTTAAGTTGTAGAAGTTAAGTAATAAAAGATAAGAGAATTGTTTCATATCAATATATTAATGAAATAATATGAAAATATATTAGTGAATAATAGACAAAAATATTTTAATGAATTTTCGTATAATTTAACACTATATTTTTATATTTTTATATAAGTAGAAGCAAAAATTTCAGGCGTTAACATAGTAATTTATACTTTTACCTCTATTTAATTTTGTTCAATGTCCTAGTATTACGATTCTGATATATTGATCACTCGGTAATAAGTAAATATATGACTGTATATAAATTCTCTTTAAATACTTTTAAACTAATTCAAGATTTTCAATTTCTTTATACAATATTGCTATATTCACTTATATTTATTTTATAATAAGTAACAATTATATTATAATAGCTATCATCAACATTAATATATATGTCAGCTGATAAATATAATTTTAAAAACTTTTTCAATTTTGTTGATTTTAAATTAATAATTTTATTAAAAAAAAATTTTTTTCACAATTTTATGTTTTTAGAATGATTTATATTTTATATTTATACAATATTAATGTGTGATATCTTTGTCAAAATTTCATAAGAAATTAATTAAAAAAATTCCTATTAAAAACTTTTAAAATGTTTCAATAATTAAAGTATTTAGGCATAGAAAATATTTACATAATATAATTATATTATAGAATATTAACAGAATATATATAAAAGTTTCCGAAATTAATATGAAATTAATTTCTTTGAATTAATCTATTTTAGTTCGTCGCAAACATTTCATTGAATTATATGTAATAAAAATAATAAAGAAATATAAATTTTATATGCATAATATTATGTGAAAATAAATATTTTATTGATACAAGAATAGTATTAATTGAAATAAAGTAAATTTCTATAAATAAGAAAATGTTGGGCATATTTTAATAATATATTAGAATTATTAATATTAAAAAGATTATTAAATATTCTAAATATAAATTTCATGTTTTATACTAAATAAGTTCGATTTATGTTCAAATATTTTAATACGTAAAATATATATAGATTATAATAAGATTGTATTATTCGAAATAAAAGTATTATATATATATGTATATGTATATTTTGTACTTCACTTTTTCGAAAATATTTTCATAATTTGTATTATTATATTTCAAATGAGATAATACAAAAATCGTTTTAAATCCAATAAATATGACTGAAATATGTATTATATTTATGGTATTTTTATTATACTATAATATTATTAAAAAATAGTTAGGTACTACAAAAAACTTAATTATATTTGGTTAATAATTAAAATTTCGGATACGATTATTTTTCTGTGCTATAATGAAAATAAGAAAGAAAATAAAAATTGTTGTAGGAAATAAAAAGAATTCGAAGAAGAAGAAGAGGGGCGAATCTATGTACTTTGGTGTGTTATAACATAAAAAGATAATAATCGTGCAAACTATAAAACAAAAGCCATAATAATATATTTTTTTAAATAGTAAAAATGAAGTGATCGTCACAAATAAATTAATAATTAAGCTCATTATTACAGTTATATTCATAATATATTTCATTTCTTGTATATATAGGATATGAATATATTTAAGTAAAAAAGAATTACTAGATATGTTTGTATATTTACAAAATAAATATCATAATTCGAATAAATTAGAAAAAATTAGAATAAATTATCTAGGTGTCTTATTAAAGATTTAAAATAAAATGTTTCCTAATTAGAATTTATACAATTTTTTATCAATTACTGCCTGTTTCTAGTAGAAATTCAGTTGAATTTTTGATGAGTAAACTGAAGCTTAATGCATATATATATATATATATATCCGTAGTATATTAGTTTTTATTAGCATAGTATAGTATATTTAAGGTCTGTAGTATAGTGTTTTAGCTAATTCAAGATAAATCATTCACAGCTGATAAGGCGTGTTCATTTATATATGATAGATTCGTGATGTAGGGCAGATATATTTTATCGCATTTTAATTATTCCATAAAATGGACTTGAAAAAAAAAAAAAAAAAAAAAAATTAAACATCTTCCGATTCAGTTTAGAAAACATCTGTAATTAGAATGAAAAGTTTCAAGATTCCATTCCATGCTAAATATAGATATGGCATTGATTAATTTCAGTTTGATAATATCATAACTAATAGTTATGAATCATTAAAATAATATTTATTTATAATTTTTTTATTTGATTCTTTTATTTACATGTAAAATTTCATTTTTAATTTATTTAAAATCTTTTAAAAAATTTGCTTTATTATATAAATGACTAAACTAAACCAAAGTAATCTGTAATTGTTATTTTATTTAAGATCAATAATAATATTTCAAAAATTAAGCCATTAAATATTATATAAGTAGAATATTTTTTAAATTAACCTCATAGCATATATATTTTTATAATTATTATCTTATAGATATAAGCGGCAATAATGAGATTGAAAACGAAAGCAATGCACATT